AGAAGTTTTCCAATCATAAATAATAACTCAGATGATAAATATTTCTAGTCATAAATGTTAACTCAGATGATACAGATAGAAGATTTCTAGGCATAAATAACAAATGTGATAGAGACCAAAAGTTTTCCAGTGATAAATAACTCAGGTGCTAGATAAGAAAAGTTTTCAGTTGTAAGTGATAACCAAAGTGCCAGAGAAAGATTTCCTGTCATAAATGATAACTCAGGTGACAGAAGAGGAAGGTTTCCTGTCATAAATTACAATGTAGGTGACAGAGAAAGACAGGTTCCAGTCATAAATGATAACTAAAGTAATAGAGATAAAAGGTTTTCAGTCATAAGTGATATCTCAGGTTTTAAGGAAAGTTTCCGGTCATAAATGAAAACTCAGATGACAGAGAAAAGGTTTCAAGTCATAAATAAAAACTCAGGTGATAGAGAAAGAAGATTTCTAGTAATAAATGATAACTCAGGTGATAGATGTAGGTTTCCAATCATAACTTAGGTGATATAGAAGAAAAGTTTCCAGTTATAAACGATATGTCAGGTGATGGGCAAAGAAGGTTCCTAGTCATAAATAATAACTCAGGTGATAGAAAAAAAAATTTCATGTCACTATAGATAGCAGGTAAGGAAAGAATGTTTCAAGTCATAAATGAGGTCAGGTGATAAAGACATAATTGATAATGCAGGTGATAGAACAAGAAGGTTTCCAGTCATAAATGATAAACCAGGAGAAGAAAGATTTCCAGTCAGAAATAATAACTCTGGTGATAGTGAAGGAAGATTTTCAGTCATAAGTGATAACATAGGTGATAGAGAATAAAGGTGTCAAGTCAAAAATAAGAACTCAGCAGATAGGAAAGTAAGGTTTGCAGTCATAAATTATAACTAAAGTGATAGAGAAAGAAAGTATCATCAGAAATGATCATTCAGGTGATAGAGAAAAAAGGTTTCCAGTCATAAATAATAATTCAGAGACAGAGAGAGGTTTTTAGTCATAAATGGTAACTCAGGTGAAAGAGAGAAAAAAGTTTCTGTCATAAATGATAATTCAGGTAATAGAGAAACAAGATTTCCAGTCATAAATGATAACTACGGTGATTCAGAAAAATGTTTTCTATTTATATTTGATAGAGAAAGAATAATTCAAGTCAAAAAGATACATAGGATGATAGAGAATGTTTCCAGTTATAAATTATAACTCAGGTGATAGAGAAACAAGGTTTTCCATCATAAACAATAACTCAGGTGAGAAAAAAGGAAAGGTTTTCAGTCATAAATTATAACTCAGGTGATAGAGAAAGAATGTTTCCAGTTATAAATAATAACTCATGAAATAGGAAAATTTTAAGTCATAAAAGATAAGTGAAGTTACAGAGAAGGAAGGTTTCCAGTCATAAATGATAGCTCACATGTTAGAGAAAGAAAGGTTTCCAGCATAAATAATAATTCAAGTGATATAGAAAGAAAGCTCCTGGTCAAAAAAGATAACTAAGGTGATAAAAAAAGAAAGATTTCTAGTCATTAATGATATGACAGATGATAGAAAAAGAAAGGCTTCCAATAATTAATGATAGCTCAGGTGATAGAGAAAAAAGCTTTCAATCACAAATGATAACTCAGGTGATAAAGAATGAAAGTTTCCAGCTATAAGTGATAAAGCAAATGATAAAGAAAGAAGGTAGCCAGTCATAAATTATAACTCAGGTTATAGAGAAAGATTTTTTCAATCATAAATAACAAATCAGGAGATAGAGGAAGAAAAATTTCCAGTCATAAATTATAAATATGGTGATAGAGAAAGAAGTTTTCCAGTCACAAATGATAATCAACATAATAAAAATAAGGTTTCTAGTCATAAATGGTAACCCTGGTGATAGAGTTTCCATCATAAATGATAATTCAAGTAATAGAAAAAGAAGAATTTCAGTCACAAATGGTAGCAGAGGTCATTGAGAAAGAAACTTTCCAGTCTTATATGATAATTCAGATGACAGAGAATGAAAGGTTTCCTGTCATAAATGGTAACTCATATGATACAGAAAGGTACCAAGTCAAAAACAATGTCAGGTGGTAGAGAAAGAGTTCCAGTCATGAATGATAACTCAGGTGATAGAGAAAGAAGGTTTCCAGTCATAAACAACAAAGTCAGGTGCTGGAGAAAGAAGGGTTTCTGTCATAAATGACAAGTCAGGTGGTAGAGAAAGAAAGTTTCCTATCATAATTGATAACTCATGTGATTGAGATACAAGGTTTCTAGTCATAATTAACTCTGGTGATACAGAAAGAAGGTTTTCAGTCATAAAAGATAAGTCAGATGATAGAGAAAGAAGTTTACCAGTCATAAATAATAACTAAGGTGGTAAAAATAGAAGGTTACTAGTCATAAATGATAAGTCATATGGTGGAAGGTTCCCAATCATAAATGATAAATTAGGAGATAGAGAAAGAAAGGTTTCCAATAATAAATGATAAGTAAGGTGATAAAGAAATGACAGTCATAAATGACAAGTCAGGTGATAGAGAAAGGTTTCCTGTCATAAATGATAACTGAAATAACAGAGAAAGACAAAGTCAGGAATGCTAACTCAAGTGATAGAAAAGTTTTCCAGTCAAAAATTATAAGTCAGGTAATCAGGTTACTAGTCACTAGTTACTAGTTATAAATTATAACTCAGATGATAGAGAAAGAAAGGTTTTCAACCATTAATGATAACTAAGGATTAAGGAAGGAAGCTTTCCAGTCATAAATAAATCAGAAGATAGAGAAAGAAGATTTTCCATTCATAAATAAAAATTCAGGTCATAGAGAAAGGTTTCCAGTCATAAATGGTAATTCAGGCGATAGAGAAATGTTTCCAGTCATTACTGATAATTCACTAATAGAGAAAGCAGCTTTCCAATTAGAAATGATAATTCAGGTGACTGACAAACACTGTTTACAGTCAGTCATAAATAACATAGGCGATAGAAAAAAATGTTTCCAGTTATAAATGATAACTCATGTGATAAGATAGAGGATTTCCAGCCATAAATGATAACTCAGGTGATAGAGAACAAAGGTCCTGTAATAAATGATAACTCTGATGATAAACAAAGAAGTTTTCCAGGCATAAATGATAACTCTAGTAATAGAGAAAGAAGGTTTCCAGTCATAAGTGATAACTCGGATGATAGAGAAAGAACAGCTTCCAGTCATTAATGATGACTCAGGAGACAGGGAAAGTTTCCAGTCACAAATGATAAGTTAGGTGATAGCAAAAGGTTTCCAGTCATAGATAATGACATGTTATAGAGAAAGAAGTTTTCCAGTTATTGACAACTCATGTGATAGAGAAAGAAGACTGTCAAAATAACTCCCATGGAGCGGTGCCGCCCTCTAGTGGCCCATGGGCAGATGCATCAGACGCACCCACTCTGGAACCCACTCTCTGGGAAACAAGTCTCATCTGGTGGACCCCTCCCCCTCAGATCTCTCATCCTCTGCCCCAAGCGCCTGGGCTCTAAGGCCCTGCCCCTACCTGTCCACCTGCCCCCTGTCCCTCTCTGGGCTTCTCTTCCCCCTGCCTGTCTCCTTTACCTTGTCTGTCTCTCCACCTGTCTGCACCAGCCCCAGCCCCCAGCACCCCAGGCTCTCTCTTTCTCTCTTCTCCCCAGGCCCCCTTCTTCCATCTGGGTACCTGACATTGGGCATTTCAGCAGCAAACTTGAGAAAAGTTGTTTCAGGGTCCTCGCCTGCTGCAGCCCCCAGTCCTGGAGTGTGGAGCACCCCTTTCACCTTCTCCTGACCCCAGTGCCCACAGACTCCGTGTGAGTATGAGGAAGCCACAGAGAAAGGCTCTGGTCTCCAAGGCTGTTGTTGCTCCAGGTTCTGGATCTGGCTGGAGCCAAGGACAGCAGACAGTCCAGGGATGAAACCTGCACGTGCCACAGCCTTGGTGGTCCCCCTCCCAGACAGCCTGAGAACCCCTCACCTCAGCTGTTCGAGCAGTTCCCATAAAACAGGCATCATCTTCTGGATGATGCAGTTACACCTCAAAGCATAAAACAGGCTAAAAGTTAAGTAATCGTGTGAGCAATTTTTTAACAAAACTCAAAGCATTTGGGAGTGATGAGAGAATCAAAGTGAGAAAATTCTGGAAAAAAATTTAATACTTAAAAAGTTCTATAATAAATGGTGATATGGTCTTTAAAAAATGTGTACAAAACACTAATGTGAAATTTATTTTACCATGAGATAAAAGCAAAACATAATATTCTGTGGAATATACCAACTAGCGGCCAATTTATTTTACATTTGTTAATGTGCAACTTCATTTCAGCTATGAATAACATTATTGAAAAAAAAAATGGGAAGAAATATCCACACAATGCTCGCCTGCACGGGTTATGAGGTACATTCGGCACATGTCTCAACTGAACACCAGTGGCTGCACCTTTCCCACAAATAAGGCCATGTCTGATTATTGTGAAGAACACTCCAGCCAGAATTTTTTTCTCAATTTCTACAACATAGAAATAGGTTTTTCTTATTCATTAAATAGTCTCTGAAATGTTTGCACTAAATAAAACAAGCTCATAGCAGAAAGCAAATGCTGCCTTCTATCTTGAGTAACGTGTACATTTTTTAAGGCTATGATGACATTCTTATTTAAGGTGATATAGTTTCTCCTTTGTTTTTATAAAACCTACACAAATCATCTTTTTTAAACAAAACTTGAGTCCAATTTTGTGTCTGATCAACTGTATGCAGGATGGAATAAACTCACCTAGACAGTTCTTGACAAAGAGACAACAGAACTTGAATTATCACCATTTACAACAGTGAAAATGGCAGGCCATTTGTCTTCTAATATGCATTTAAAAATATGTAAATACAACATACTTCTTTTAACAATGTTTGGCCTCCTGGGTTTCTGGACTGCTGGTCTAAGCCATGTTGTACGGAGATTTCTGGGGCTGCCGTGGTTCTGAGGGAAGTGATGTCACTTACTGGTTGTGGGTTCACAATTAGAAAAGCGCAGGTGAGGAAGCCCAGATCAAACAGAGGTCGAAAGCTTCTTTCTCTCCTCAAATTGCTTGTCCACTGCCAGAGACAGGGCCTGGAGGAATCCCTCTATGGTGACGGTGGGGGCCTGGAAGAATACACAAGCACTGTTGGGTGGTCCTTGCCCTTGGTGGGGTCATGTGGCAGCACTCACCCCACCTAGAGGGGGGCAGAGGGGCACAGCCACAGCTCAGGGTAAGCGTGGGTGCAACTCCAGGTCACTGTTCTGTGTAAGTTAAGCCCAGACCCGAGGGGCACGAGCACCTCTGAGGAGGCCCGAGAGGCTGGGATGTGAGTTCTCAATGCACCACGAAGGTGTCTGTCTACTCTCAAAGGACTTGAGGGGGCCCTGCCAGTATGGCATCAAGAGGAGCTCCTCCTACTGCCCCAGGAGCCTGTCACTTTAGACACTGAGATGAAATAAGGCAGGTACCCAATGGTATTAAGTGCCACTCCCATTGAGGCTACGACCCGCTGGATGGAGTGGGTGCTGATGAGAACTGAGCACCCAGGGAGGAGGACAGCCTTGGGGAGACTCACCTGGACATATAGCGCATGAGCCAGAAAAGGGAGTTTTCTCAGGACGCGGCCACTGAGGCCCTCGCTCTTCCTGTGAATGTAACCATGTTTGAGGACGTCAGCTCCACATAGTTGCATGTTCAGGACTAGTATCCCTCTTCTCTTCCCCCGCAGCCACTTGAGTGAGGCTGGTCTCCTGGTCCTCACCTACTGCTCTAGGTGGGACAGGGCCCTCGCTGCCCTGACGCCACCCACAGCTGCCACTGTGCCCAGGGACCACAGCACCTGCCGAGAGTGCCTCATATGGAGTGTGACACAGTGGGCAAGTGGCCAGCGGCACACATTCCCCAAGTAACCAGGCTGGTTCACATCTCCATTAATTTTTGCACAAGTCTCTGAACCCCTCTCCTCTGTTCCATCTAAACTAGTTTAAATCTCTTCAACAGAGAATGAAAACAATCTAAAAAACACTGTTCTTCACGCTATCCTTTCGTTCAAAACATTCCACATGTCCCATGGCTTCAGAATAAAGTTCAAACTCTCTGGTCAGAACTCTGAGGCTCGCCCGACTCAGCCCCTCAGCTCTTCCAGTGCCATCACCTGGTGGTCTCTGCAGCACAACCCACCTGATGTCCTCTGTACACAGGCCCACGGCCTTCCTGATTTCTCTCCAATTTATCCAAATTCTAACCGTCCTTTGAGGCTTTGCTTCATTTTCCTGGCCCACCCCCCTTCCTCCCTCTCTGATCACCAAAGCCACTTGAGACCTGGAAAGCACCACCAGCCATGGGTCCCCAGCACGCACGCCAATGACTCTTGACGCTCACACATTATGTGCTTCTCCCTTGGTGCCCAGGGCAGCTGAATCATAACGTACACTTTCTGTTATTTCCCAAAGCACCAAGCAGAGGACCCTGCAATTATTTTGCTTATTGAAGCAAAAGCTTCAAATTTTATTTTCTTCTTGTCAATTTGTAAAAATTTAACAAACATTTTTTAAGAAATCATTAATGCATCAAGAAAGCCTTAATCTGAACGTCTATCTTTTCAGACATAAGTGTAGCACTTTTTTGCATTATCTGATGGCACCTCTATGAGGGCAGCTGACCTCCATCCTCCAGTCCAGAAACTTGGGGCCCAGGGAGATCAGGGGCGCTCTCGAGCTCTCCTAGAGTATGTGCAATGCCTCAGGATTCAACTCCCTGTCCTCTGACCCCCAAACTGCTACCCCAGGCTGCTACAGTCAATTACAACTTTCCCTTGTTACTACGGAAAAAGGCCTTTTCTTGGTTACAAAAATGAGGTCAATTCACACCTTGAAATTTCACTCAAAAGCAGGCTCAACTTTGACACGTTGTTTTCAATGAAGCCAATCATCTCTAGCTCACGGAGGGTCAGCAGCTGCTGGCGAGGGTATATGATCTGACACTGGGGAGACAGAGGCAGGGTAGTTACTGTGGGGTCCACAGGGGACAAAGGGCATACTGTCAACAACAGGAACAGCACTTAGAGAATGAACACAAACGACATCACATCTTATAGAAACACAAACCGTGATCATTTAACACACACAGCTGCGCCAGAAACAGGCTGGATCCCCTCTCATTCTCTCACTCACTGACACACACACACACACATACACACACACACACATACAGAGCCCTGCTTCTTCAAACAAAGATAAGTATACAAATAACAAAACATGTCTCAGAAGCCAGCAGTGACCCAGCCGCTTCTGTGCTTTTGGCCAAAATGTGTCTTCACCATGTGTCAGGGCAGGGAGGGCCTAGGAGGCATTGAGTCTAGTCTGGTATTAGGTTTCAGTGACATGTCACAACTCACAGTTGGGCAGAGTTGGGCCCTGGAGCCAGGACTTTGCCTGCCTTTGAAGAAGGGTTTCCATTTTTTGTTTTTAAGGTAAGACTCTCATTTTGGTGGAATGACACAGCCTACTTCCAAATGACTACAGGTCTGGGTCCCCGAGTTTGCCTCGTAGATCATGTGTCTGCACATCGGAGGCTCTTTGCCTAGTAGCTATGCTAAACTGTCAGGCTGGCACACTGACCACTACTTAATGAATTCTAACATGAACTGATTGCCCTCGGGAACCAGGAGAGAGAAGAAAGAAGGAAAGGCTTTCTCTGCACATTTTGGAGGTTTAGTAAGGGTTGTGGGTAAAATTAAGAAACAGGGTTTGTGTTTGGTGTGTTCTGACCTTCTTGCCTAACTGACACTCTCAGCTCCCTGCAGCCTCCCCAGGACTGTCCCCCACTACCACTCCAGTGACACGTGCTGTCCAGCAGGCATGTGTGAGAATGGCAGACCACAGGCTCTTTGACAGAGAGTGGGCCACAGTCACACACCAGCAGCCTTCAGGACCAGCCAAATCTCCAATACAACATCAGAATATCTTAACTTCCTATAAATCATCTAAGAAACTACCCCTATACCACATGCTCAGCTCCCAAAAAAGTTCGTAAGCTTGGTTAAACCTTAGAACATCCCCTGGATTCACAGCACAAGTGTGAGCATGACACTGCACTGAAGGCACTTGGTGACCTTCAGCAGGATCTGCCATTCCACTGGCTCCTTGGCAGCAATACTGCATTAGAACATTTCCACCGACCACTTGGGATCTCAAGTCAAAACTCCACAGGGCCCCTCTCCCTTTCTTCCATGCCACAGAAGCAGGACAGGATGCACACACCAGGACAGTGCTGACCCGGAGTTGAGACTAGCTCTGCTGTCCCATCATAGAAGCTGTGCCATCCTCATGGAGGACATCGGCGCCCCAGCTCCATGGTGCCAGGCAGTGGCTGCAGGGTGGGGGGTCAATCCCACCCCACTACTGGTTACAATAATGCCATTATGACAATCACTGTGTAAATCTCCATTTGTTGGCTGGCTTGATTACTGCCCATGCCCCCGCAGTGCCCAGAGCTCCTGCCACCCAGGCACGCAGCAGGTTCCTGTAAGACTGATTTACAAGAGACCGACTGTGAACATTACCGTGCTCACTGCTGCTATGCTGATTGCTGTCACTAGAACATGTGACCAAAGGGACACAAACACTGCAGCTGAGGACAGCCTGTGAACTACGACCTCCAATTAGATGACCTCCCTGTGAACTACAACCTCCAGTTAGATGACCTCCCTGTGAACTACAACCTCCAGTCAGATGACCTCCCTGTGAGCTATGACCTCTAATCAGGATGACCTCCCTGTGAACTATGACCGGCAGTCAGGATGACCTCCCTATGAACCAGGACCGCTAATGTTCTTCTTCTTTCAAGGGAGGAAATTGAGACCCAGAGATGGGTCACTTGCAAAGGCCATGAGAACCAGGACTTGCCAGGAAGGCTGACTGCAGCCCACAACCCTCCCACTCACTCATTGCCTGCAGTTAGGTAGATCAAACAACCATAATGATCATTTTGTGCCAAAAGCGCAAAAATATTGAGTCAGTGGCCACAATTTTGACTATTAACTCAACCTGCCAGATGCAACAAATTGCAATTTTTTTCAATCTAAGGTGATTAAAGCTATATCAGAGAATTAAGAAAATATAAGAAATCGACTGGAAGAGAGAGGAAAAAAAAAGTCCAAGTACCTTCATCAGTTCTTCCAAACAGGAGAGGTAGATTTTGAAGATGGCTGCCGCAGAGGGTGGCCCGATGTACTGCCTGATGTCAGCCCTATCCACGAAGGCCACGTCGATCCTCTCTGTGATGTTGGAGGTCGTCAGAATCACCACGTTGGAGTGCCTGGAGGCAGAGGAGTGAGAGCCCGTCACCCCAGGCCTCAGCAACTCAGTTATACCCTACCCGACACGGGGAGTGTCAGGAGAGTTGCCTGCGAAGGTTCCAGGCGTTCAGCCAGCGTTGTTCAGCAGGTTGCATGCCCTGTCCCAACACTGGCCTGTGAGGCCTTCCGAGGCTCTGCATCTCTGAGCTTCCTGCCTGACCCCCCACTCCTGCCAGGCTCTCCTGGATGCAACACAGCATGCCAGGCCAGGCAGACCCTCCTTGGGGCCCTTGTTCTGGTTGCTCCTCTGTCTTCCAGAAAGCTCTCCTAGACCCCTGCTTGACTGCTCCCTCGCCTCCTTCAACCATGGCAAATCTCTCATCTCTGTGTAGCATCCCTGATCACCCCATCTCTTGAACCCCTGGCACCCACACTCCCGCCTGCCTGGGCACTGCTACAGGACCGCTTATCACATAGCTCTATCACCCCGACACTGTGGAGCTGAATTATTTCTCCTGTTTACCACTGCTTTCCCCTCTGGATTCCAAACCCGACAAGAGATCCACTGTTGTCTGGTCTGCTCACCAACACGAGCCGGCACAGAGCAGGCACAGGTGCCCCAGCGAGCACACTTTCCGGCCTGGTGGGCTGGAGTGTAGGGGATGTGGCAGTGCTGCCCTCCAGGGCCCCGCATTCAGCACACAGAGGGGCCACAGGCAGCTGAGTGGCCATGGGAGCACATGGGAGGGTCAGCTTCACCTGGCATCCGGCAATAGGTGCAGAGATCTCTGTAGGGTGAGCAGGGGTGAGCCAAATGAGGGTAGGGGTGGGGGGCACACGGGTCCCAGGAGTCCAGGCAGAGGGTGTAGAGGCCAGGTGAGGACGGGCTGCTTGGTCCAGCACCCAGAGTGTGAGGCTGCGCGGTGTAGAGGGAACACATGGCTGAGAAACGCGTCCCAGGGGTAGGCTTTGTCATGAGGGGTCAGATCCGCACAAAGGCAGGGGTGGAAGGGTCATCCAGAGAGGGGCCTGAACTAGGAGCATGAGGTAACATGAGGCAAGGAAGGTGAGAGAGAAACCGGAGGCATGAATGTCTCCGTTTCTTCCAGAGCCCACGCTTCCTCTCAATAGGAGAGTCAGGGTGACCCCATCTTCTGGCTTGAGCAGTGGGTGCATGGTGCGGCCATCAGTGTAACGGGAACCCTGGGAAGTTGGGGGTTCAGGGCTGAGTGAGCAGCCTGGCAGCATGTCTGACATCACAAGTGAACGAGCACATCTGCAACGGGGACTCGCCCACCAGAACCATGAGTGACGCTAGAGAGAAGGCTGCTGACAGGCTGTGCAGGGGCCCCCTGAAGAGACAGCCGGCAGCAGAAACTGAGGTGGTCAGGAGAGTGGAGATAGGGGAGAGTCACTAAGGGTTCAAATGCTGCAGAAAGTTCCAGGAAGAGAAAACTGGCTCTCAGGTGAACAAGGGGGCAGTGGCAGCGGTAGAAACCAGACTGAGGAGCCAGTGGAGGAGGGAAGGGAGTAGAGACCAGGAGAGTCTACATCTCACACAGGCTTGCCTGCGGAAGGGCGAGAAGCAAGAGGCTCCTGCAGCTGACCCAACAGACAACTACATCTCCGGGAAACAGATATTCTCTACGCCAAACAACAGTGAAGGCCTGGATAAAACATTCCTTAGCACAATTTAGTTGGCTGTCACTCCACACTCAACAAGAGAGATTCTGACAATGGTTTGGAGCCCTGGCACCCTGAAAGCAGACAGAGCACTCTAGAGAACAAACAAGAGAATTCTGATTGGCGGAGGGAGGGTTGAAGTGCTGCAAAGAGCAGATGGGGGTTCTGGTTTTGACATTACTTCCTTGTGAGCTTGGTTAGTAGGAGTTGCTTCCCAAAGCTGGATCAACCTTGGGTACACTGACCAGAGGCCCTGGACTTGTAAGCTGGACTGCAGGGACATGAAATCTGGCCCAAAGGGTAAGCAGGTGACGCTGCCTGCCCAGTGCCAGCCCTTCAACCACAAAAAACACCGGGCGTGTTGGCACTAACGCAGGACGCAGCAGGTCGACTCTTCGTTTTGCGCTTCTCTGTGGCGTGTAAATGTCCCCCACGCCCCAGTTTTATTTTACATTTTAATACTTTAATAAAGTAAAAAGTACTTAATTTCTAAAAAAATGCATTTAGCATATGCTGCCTCTGCCTCTTCTGTGGAGAAAGACAGAGCCCACGCTCAAGGCAGATGTGTTTTTAGTTACAGGAGCTGGAGTAAGGTCTAGAGCGGTCTGGTCCTCACACAGCCTCTCTGTAACCTCTCGTGGAGGGTCACTGTGTGTCGGAGCGTTACCTTTTAATCTGATCGATCTGGGTCAGGACGGCGTTGACCACGCGGATGGCATCGGAAGGCTCGGCGCCTGCCCTGCAGGCATTGCGGGCGGCTGTAAGGCTCTCTACCTGCCAGGATGGAGCAACGGGTCAAAACCGACAGGCCTGGTCCCACGGGGCTGCCTCGGGACGCCTCCACTGAGCGACTAAACAAATGAACAGGTGTGCGTGTGCCCGCCTGTGCCAGGAGCGTAATGTGTGGGAAGCCAAAGAGGACAGGACCGCACGACACGGTGAGCGCCGGACGGAGGCAGGACAGAGCGAGGCTTGGCTGTGCCCTGGCAACAATAAGGCAATTCAGTCTTGAATTTCCTTCAGTCCCAGGTTTAATGTCTGAACGTGCCTACCTCATCAATCAGCACAAACACCAGAGCATCTTTATCGTCAATTAGATCCTGAATCTTCTGGAACATCTTAGTTACCAGCTTGCCACTCTGGAACCAAAACACTCCTTTAGTGTCGACATACACTCACTCATCATGCTGCCAGGTGCACACGTGCACCACTGTCCCCACTGGGCTTCGCTCTGGCCCCAGGTGGCCCCACAAGCCCACTGTCTCCTGACAGCCCCTCAGAGAACTCCCGGAATCAGAGAAGCCAGGTCCATATAGGAGGAGATCAACCCAAACACCCTCCCTCCCTGCTTCGTGTGCCAGGACACTGAGACCTGAGCCCACTCCTGCTCCCGCCCAGGGCCGCAATCACAGGACACGGGCACTCGCACCTCAGCTCACCATCTGTCTTCCTCTCACTCTCCCTTTCCCAGCTGTCCTCACGACCAGGAACAAGATGGATCGTGGATACAAACACGAAAACTGGCCGGGCACTCCTTGTCCCCACTCACCATCTACCAGAGGGATCTACTGACACAGGTGCCTGGGGCAGAGCCCTTCAGAGGTGAGGGGCACCTGTGACACCACCTTGTCTGAGCCTCTCAGTTCACAGATGGCAGAATAGGGCTCAGTGGCCCAAGGGCATGCTCAGCGGAGGGGTGCAGTCCACGTTAGAACGTGAGATCCCTTCCATCGTAAGATAATGCAGAATGTCCTGTCCCACTCAGTCAAAGGTCTGGATGTGACCAGCAGAGGGTCCTCTCAGGGCTCACACTATTTTCAAGTTACTGCTTAGCTCTGGAACTTTCCTCTGACCACAAAGTCAGACCCACTGTTCACTTTCCCATTTCACCTATTTCTCTCCTATAGATTTTGGAGGAGAAAGTTTGCCTAATATACAGGACACCTTTTCAACTACATGGTTGATAATCCATAGGATTAGAATTAATACTTACTTCAGAAAACCACTTAGAAAAGAGGCTGTGGCTGTTTATTTCAATTAATTGGCCATACTGGTACCTAAGATGATAAAAAACAGAGTTAAGACAATTATTTCACAAATCAGTCCGATGGCATCCTCAGTGGCAGCCACTTTTGCTTCTTCCATACAACATCTCTAACTGCCCGGTATGTTGAGAATTACTAACTTGTTAAATCATTACAATTACTGACAAAGGACTGATAGACCTAGCACCCTGCATACTAAAGAATTATGAAAAATCTAACAAGATGCAATCAATAGTTCTAGTTGAAGCAAATTAAGTGTTTTGAATTGAATATCTTCATTTCAATGAAAGCAAGAGTAAAATCTCTCTCATTTTCAATCTGCCTATAATTTATATTTCTGTTACACAGTATTACCAGTACTAATACAGCCAACAAAACAAAACATAAGCATCAAAAGTTTTCTGGCCAGGGCTGAACATTTTTACCCTTCCACAAAACCCTAAAGAATGTGACAATTTGTTTTCCAGCACAAAATCACTTCCTGCAAACTCCAGAGCCCTGGAATGTTTACACGGTCCAAAATGAACCTTAACACGTACGAACTAACTGAAATCTAGCACCGACACCTTCACTCCGGAGGCACTCAGAGATCTGGATGCACTTAGTTCTGACTAAAATCAAACAGGAAGCAAGACTGAAGCAGGAGAGATGCCGACTCCAGGTCCTTTTCAGTTTCTTTCATGTCAAAAGTCCCCAGAAGAAAAAGAATTACTTCCAAAAAGTATTACTGGCCTTCCATTTAAAAAAGAGAAAAAGACCATTTACTAATTCTGTTTACAAAAGGGCAGAGGGAGACAGACAACTTCATGAAATAAAGATTGGCTTGAATATTAAACAAAATTAAATATAAAGCAGTTTGATTACTAAATGCAGTGAACAACAAAGGCTTGTTAAGGCTTCTTTTGCCATTTATAAGCCACAAAATAAACAGATATTTCCAGATCTTTTTACTGGAAAAAGTTATATTTCTTGTAATAACATCTTCACTCTCTAGTGTTTTAGGAAACTGCCCCCAGACATCTTTAAATCCCAGAGGTATTTCAACTTCTCAAGACAAAGGCCAAGCTGCTAAGCGTAAAACAAAGGGTTGAAATAAAGCAATTTCCTGATGTAAAGATACTTACAGGACATTTTGAAAAGAAAATAGGTATTTTAAAGTAAATTTCATAGGATTTCCTCTTCTAAAGTCATACTAGAGTAACAGGTACGAGACTTACTCTCTGCCTTAATCAACTAGAAAACAAGACAAAATAAACGACAACATCTGAGACAGGCACTGGACAACCTGCACCAGAGGACTGTGACCTGGAGAGAAGGAAGAGGTGAGCCCTGTGATTGCCCTGGCCTTCCTCCTGAAACACCTTCCAACGCAATCCTGGAGGGGCCAAGAGGAGCACGGCCACCTCGCTGAGCTGAGGAGACAGAGTTCAGGGAGCCTGAGGTGGCTGGAGGCTGCAGAGCAGAGTTCCAGAGGGGAGGGAGAGACACAGGAATACAGCTCCAGAAGTCGTCATGGGATCCCTCTGAGTCTGCTGCACACTCGGGCGTGTGTGAGTAGGGAAATCCCGTGAGGCCGGAGACGTGTGAGCCGAATGGTTCCCGGCACTCACATAGGCTGGGAGTGTTCAAGTTCTCATTGGCCAAAGCGGACAGCACTTGTTACTCATTCAGGGTGCCTGACTCAGACCCCCGAAGGGCCTCACTTGAGCATTAAGACCAGACTACACCTAAAGCCCTCTCTAACAATGCCTAGAAACAAACCTACAAAGGATCACAGCAAATCACAAGTAAGTGAAATGCCCACCAGAACTAAACCCAACAGTCTTCAAAGGAAGACAGGAGAATCCAGACACTTCAAATCTCAATGTCCACCTTCAATCAAAAATTACCTGACGTGCCAAGAAGCAGAAATATGTGACCCATAACCAGAAGAAAAATCAGTCAACAGAAAGACTCAGGAATGATACTGATGATGGAATGAGTAGACAAGAACATTAAAACAGCTATTACACACTTTGAAACATTAAAACAGCTATATAACGCTCAAGGATTTTAATAAGAACTTAAAGAGGAGAGAAATGAAAAGTATAGAAAGAACCAAATGGATCCTCTGGAAAAGAAAAATATACTATCAGAAATGAAAATTTCACTGAAGGAAATTAAAAGCAGATTAGATACTGTAGAAAATTATACAAAATGAAAGAGAAAATTCTAAAAACCTGAAAAAACGAAAACGCTCACCAGTGGCCTGTGGGACAACATCAGGCAGTCTGACCTGCAAATAAATGGACTGCCAGAAAAGGTGGGGCAGTTAAACAATGCCAAATATTTAAATAAGAAATAATGGGCAAATATGTTCCAAATGTGGTAAAACAATAAACCCCAAAACAGAGAGAACTCAAGAAGTAACGGACAGGGGCTGCCCCATGGTGTAGCGGTTAACTGCACGTGCTTCGCTGCTGGCAGCCTGGGTTAGCATCCCAGGCGTGCACTGATGCACCGCTCGTCAGGCCATGCCGTGGCAGTATCCCACATACAGTGGAGGAGGATGGGCACAGATGTTAGCCCAGGGCCAGTCTTCCCCAGCAAAAAGAGGAGGATTGGCATGGATGTTAGCTCAGGGCTGATCTTCCTCACCAAAAAAAAAAAAAGTAACAGATAAACCCACCACTAGAGCCTTAGACATTCCTCCGTGAGTACGTGACGGAACACCAGACAGACAATCAGCACGGACATCAAGCGTCCTGAGCTGACATCCATGGAATATTCCACCCAACAAGAGCAGAAACACGTTCTTCTGAAGCACACGGGGAACTGTCAACAGGACAGAGCACATGCTGGTCATAAAGCAAGTCTCAATAAATTTAAAAAGACTGAAATCATAACTGAAGACTATGCTGTGGGGGGCTGGCCCCATAGCCTAGTGGTTAAGTTTGGCATGCTCCACTTCAGCAGTCTGGGTTCAATTCCTGGGCACAGACCTACACCACTCATCAGTGGCCATGCTGTGGCAGCGACTCACATACAAAACAGAGGAGACTGGCAACACATGTTAGCTCAGGGCGAATCTTCCTCAGCAAAAAAAAAGACTATGCTGAGTATAGTGGAATTAGTTAATTTACATTGAAAGAGAGGAACCTACTATTCACGTAAAATAATTAAAAACTAAGAACAGCTTCCATCATTGTCAACGAAAGGCAAGCAACGCCATTCCTGCTGCTCTCCTCAAATGACCGAAAGTTACCTGTTAGAAAGTCTAATGGTCAATTTCTGGGCTAATGCTTTACATAGGGATGTTTTTCCAGTGCCTGGAGGACCTGTAACAGAATTCAAGCAAATATGTTTTTAAGTCAGTGTAGTAACAAATTTCTTAAAACAAAAGTAGTTGCATTATCCACAAAATACAAAATGAGGAGCAGAAAGTTCGATGCCATAAATTTTATTACCACAAGTACCACTTGCTAACTTAGAAAGAAGTCTGCTAGCAGTGTAAATGCTATAAAACAACCAATATGCTTTACAAGTTTTTCCCTCTTTCTTCCTAGTTTGAACTCAACTTGTGTTTCTGGTCTTAGCTCCCACCAGCCCCGACACATGCACTGCTTCCTGGCCCACAGGGCCCTCAGCATTCTGAGCGAGCACTGCATTTCCCGGTCTGTCTTTATTGACACCCTCCTCCTCCCCGCACACCTTTATGAAATCCACTCATTAAGGCACCTTTCAAAATGTCAAACAACCTCTCTTGATAATCAGGGCTCTTAAGGCACTGAAGTTTGCCATTCTTGCAGCCCACAGCACCACTGTCTTTCACTACAGTTATCTCCACGTGGGCCTGCACCCCAGACTAAACTAGAAGAGCAGCTGAGGCAAGGGCCCAGCAGTCTGGCCTGTATGTCACCTAGCACAACTCCTTGCAGAAGCTCTGAGGTGACCAATGTGGAGGAACGAATGCATCTAATAGAAAACGCTGACACGTTCAAATCTGACTTTCTGCAAGCCTTTTCAATAATTAAAGAGGAAATGTGTAAGCAATTTGAAGTGGAAAATAATTTATTTCACTAGTTAAAATACCTATCGATTGCCTACTCTGTTCCTGCAATTAGGGCAATGTACTGGGGATATCTGCTATTTAAAAGACACCAACTGGGGGCGAGCCCTGGTGGCCTAGTGGTTAAGTCTGGCATGCTCCGCTTCAGCAGCCCAGGTTCGGTTCCGGGGCACAGACCTACACCACTCATCAGCAGCCACGCTGTGGCGGCAACCCACATACAAAATAGAGGAAGACTGGCAACAGAGGTTAGCTCAGGGCCAATCTTCCTCAGCAAAGAAAAAAGACACTAACTGATTTTTCAAGATTATATACAAGCATACAAACTTAATTGGTATAAATGGGCTAATAACTCTTGAGCTCCTACCTCACTATAATTTGAGTATTCTCTCTATCCCTTTCTATCCAGTGACATTAAGAAAAAAATCCAATATTTTCCTCCGAGAAGAACCAGACAGAAGTTCCGTAAAGTATGGTTTTTGCAGTTTACTACTCACAAAGTCAAGCTCTAAGAATACTACAAAGAAATACGAGGCAATTTCTATCCTAAGGAGTTTATGAACAGTTGGTGAAATAAGGCAGTTACTTGAAAAGTTGAATAATAGCACAGAAAAGTCGCAAGGCAGCGATCAGGTGGCTGCCAAGAGAAGGGTCAAGTAACAAGTGCCCAGAGTAATGTGAGCTGGATCAGCGTCTCAGAGAAGGAACATTCTAGCACAGCTCTGGCTCCATCAGAAAACAAAGAGTCATAACTCCTCACAGAAGGACAAAGGTACAAGTCAAAGTCTGGTTTCATGCAGTTCATCTTGTCAAGTAAAACCCCACATGCTTTACCATGAAGCAGCACCACTCGGTTCCAGGTGATGAGATTGCTGTCGACGTTCTTGTCTGAAAACAATAAAGTTGTCATCACATAATCGAGGAGCTGAGCGAAGAAAGGAAAAACACAGATAAAGGTGCCAACAAGGCAAAGGTTCCCACTAAATGTGCTTCTAAATAAGCAGAGGGGACAGGAACAAGGCCGCCCCTCAGAGACTGCCATCGCCAAACACTTGTTGGATACCTCACAGGCTTTCATTTCAGAAGGTAACTTAAAACATAAGAGGATAAGTGTCGGCTGTTACTATTATAAGTAAAAAGGATAAACACAAAGATCACTTTTATTTAAAGTGCCAAGATCACACAAACTGACTAAGGGACTTAGCAAGTAATGAGTGAGCTCCTTCCTCTGAGACGACATAGCAGTGGGCAAGCACACAGCACGGTTACTAAAAGACAACAACAGCCAGGACTCTGTTGTCGCGTTGTGGCTCCCAGAGCAGCCTGGGGTGATCGGGGCCAGCGGCCAGAATTCTAGCGTCCCCCACAGCGTGAGAATGACCCTTGCCCTTGAAGGGGGTTCAGATTCGCTGGGACTTGCTCACACCTGCCCACCTGCTCTGTCCACCCCTCGGCACTGCCTCCTCAGCCGGTAGGTTCCTAAGAGTGTAACCCAAGGAAACTGGTCTTCACTTTCTGCTCCTCCCCTTTTCTCCCTCAGGGAACTCCCCAGAGACCAGCTCCACTCAGGAGCAATCCCAGAGGACAGATACCCAGGACACGGGCTGGTGGACAGTGCTTCCCCAAAAGCCTATTTGAGTCAAGGGGCCCCGAGGCACTGGAGAGCAACACCATAAGGATTCTAACTCAAATCACGGAGGCGAAAAGTGCACTTTTGGAAAAAAGTTCAACTTACGTGAGATTTGACTTCCACATCATACACCAGGCTGTCCCAAAGCCCATGGAATTCAGCTGGTAGAGAAGAAAACAAAAACCTCATTTTAGGGCCAGCGCCATGGCCAAGTGGTTAAAGTTCTGCGCACTCCGCTTCGGCGGCCCAGGTTCACAGGTTTGGATCCAGGGCGTGGAGCTACTCCACTCATCAGCCATGCTGCGGAGGCATCCCACATACAAAATAGAGGAAGACTGGCACAGATGTTAGCGCAGGGCTAATCTTCCTCAAGCAAAAAAATCAAAAAAAGAGGAAGGTTGCCAACAGTTGTTAGCTCAGGTTGAGTCGTCTTCACCAAAAACAAAACAAAACAAAACACAAAAGAAAACCCCCGAAAAATCCCCTCATTTTAGGAAAGCAAGCATTACACCCACCAGTAAGGTTGCCCTGAGCCACCAATGCTCCCCACTGGTCCACACGTGCTAGGCTAAGGTTTTGATCACAGGGAAGTTAAATTTTTTTAAACTTTTCTTAAAATTAAAGGCGTAAAACAAATGCCAGTCACGTCTCACTTTGAAAGATAATTAACTGGAGTAAAACAGTTCCTTTCGGTCGCGTAATCATGAACAATTGCCTTTCGTGGACCTGTACTTTGACAGCACAGATGCTGAACCCACCACTCTCCCCACAAGCCAGCACTCGGGCAGCAGCAGGTCTAGTCTAGCTGTCAAGACATCAGGCATAAAACCTTACGAAAAAATTAACCCCAGGACTCTGCCGGCTAGAACCCGCTAGACCCAACCTCCACAGAGGAGTAGTGAGAAGGGAAGAGGAAGCAGTGGAGAGAACAGCACCAATGACATTCTCCATTAGCAACATCTTTGAGGGATCTGTCTAAGGAACAACAGACTTATACTAGAACAGAACTGGATACCAGTCTTATACTATACCATACTATAAATCTCTCCTTTTCTCTTTTGTGATATACTTTCCATTTCAAAAGACATAAAACACCCTAAAATCCTACAAAACAAACAGAGAAACAAACTCTCCTCTGTGAACTGACTTGGCAAGCCCAAAGCCATCCTGACCTCGAGACCTCCAAATGCTCCACCTACTGTTACCATCACAAGTACCTGCGGGCAGAACCCAATGATTTGCTGCGATTATATTCTCTGTCTCTTCCTCCAAGTTTTCACTGCTGGGGCCATCTTCATTCAGCTGAAAGATGTGAAGTGCAATAGTGCATGTGCTCAAATCAATGGGCTGTGATGAGAAGAAAAGAGCAAATAAATCTACACAAATTGAAAAGAACTTGCTTTTTAATTCTAGCTATAAAAATTAGATGATAAAGTTGAATAATAAGAATTGAATGTGCAGCATGTTAAAAACTAGCTCTTAGATTCGATGAAAAGACTATTGTTTTATTTCAGATTTAGGATTAGCTCTTTTAAAAATGTTTATCCTCCTTCCCTTTTTGGGGTCCTACGTCTGTTAAAAAAACAACTTTATTGTTTTTTTATAATTACAAAAGTAACACAGGCTTGTTGAAAAAATGCAAACAATACAGAATGAAGAAGGTCCCAGTCCCCCACATCCAACCTCACAGATGGTATAGTCTCTAACACACCCACACATATTTGACCAAAAAGTGATTCTACCACAGTTTTCCAACTGTGCCTTTCCCACTTACTAGAGCTTGGAGACATTTCACATCAGTAGACAGAAATCTACTTCATTCTTTTTCATGGTTATATCGTATTTGCTGTGGATGTATCAGATTTGTTTACCCAATCTCTCATCAATGGATAGTTAAAATACTTCAAATTGTTAGCGATTATTAACAATATGGAAAAAACACTTGTTCACGTATCTCCACAAAATTACATAATCATCTGTTAAGACAAATTCCTCTAGGTGAATCTGCAGAGTTGAAAATGGGAACATTAAAATGTTTGGTGGCTGACACCCATGCCCTCCAGTTAGCTGTGTCCTTCCACAACAGCGTGGAAAGCTCTTCTGCTGTTCCCCTCAGGCTGGCCAAAATCGCGTACGATGGCATCAGAGCTCAGTGTGGAGAAAACTCTGACAACGCCACAAACGTCAGTCCTAATGTACGAATGGGGAGGTCCACCTCGTAAGCAAAATTTTAGTGCCAAATCAATTCCTCCAAACTGATTCTTTACAGGACAGGAATTGTACAGGTATAAGTGACGCATCTTCCTGAGGCAGACACTTTGGGTTGATTTTATTGTGGTGAGTGAACCGCCCTAACACATGCATCCTCTCACGCAAAGCTTCCCTTAACTCCCACACACAAACTCTGTAAGATGGTGCGTGAGGCCGTCCGTACGCTGGACTAGATGAAGAGCTTCTAGAAGGCCAACCCATCTCATCTGCAGCCCCCACGACTCCTAGGGTCCTAAGCCGGTGAGCACTCCATAAACATCTGCTGATTGAAAGAACAAGAGGGAAGGCACACAGGGCTCATCAGCGCAGCCCACGACCCCACCGTCCCCATCTGTTTCCCCTACTGCACTGAGACCCATCCTTATCCGGGGCCACGTCTTGTCCCAGCAGCCGGCTCCTGACAGACAGCCAGTACTTGTCTGATCACCAAACCAACAGATAAATGAACAGTTTCTGACAACACATGATCAAAGCAGCAAATGGTACTCACGACGCCGACTTTGTATTCAGCTAACGGGTTAACCGTTTTTTGGCACTGGGAATTAGTAAGTTACCTGTGGGTCTTTAACCTTTAATTCTGTGTCAACAATAGACACAGACTGCACGTTTCTGGTCAGAAAAGGTTCATCAAACTCAGTCCATGTGTAATCACCAAACACAATATTATGTCTGTTGAGTAGCTTTCTAACACTCAGCTTTATATCTTCTTTTTTTGCGGTACTAGGAAAACAAACAAAACACACAGATCAGGCCTAAGTTTAAAAAGAAGTTTTTAACCGTATGTTTCTCTTTTCTTTTTTAAATCAGACCATACATAAGAGAGTAAAGTAGTTAAGGGTACAGGCAGGAGTGGGCACGCCTGGGATCCCTGCCTCCTGTCACTCCGCCAGCTGTGTGACCTCGGGAAGCTACCCAAGGACTCTGTGCCCTGGCTCCCCGGGTAACAGCAAGGGTTCCCGCTACGTTGACAATGAGTCAACACATTCAAAGTGTCTAGGACAGTGCCTGGCACACGGTAAGTACTACATAAACGTTGGCTATTATGACTATTAATGAAGAGATAAGGCCCCCACAGCTGTGGGTTGGGTCGGGAGTCTGCACTGTAACAAGTGCCCCAGGCACGTGATTCAGAGGAGATCTAACACCTCCACCTTGGCACTCAAGGCTTCACATCACAGCAACACCGACTGGTTCCAAGATCACACCTTGGCGCCCCTACACACTGTGCCAGCGCCTCCGGCTGCTCAACCACAGTGGCCTTCCAGATCCTGCTCACAGCCAGCCTCCCTCTGGGCCCTCAGACTGGCCCTCAGATGCAGGCAGGCCTACAGAGCTGGCGAGGGTCGAAGCCGGCCTGCTGTGCTCCGTCCCCAGGCGCCCTCCGCCGGACACAAGCCTTACCCAACCCAGCCGGAAGTCCCCAATGAAGCGGATTGGCCTGGAGTCGCATCAGGCCAGGGGGAATGGGGGGAAGGAAAGGTCTGAGAAACGCTGGCTCCAAGGATAACCCCCACGTTTCCCCCAGAGCTTGGAGCTCTTTGTCTCTGGCCCCTTCCCAGGATCCAGCTTTGCCCGACTGGACGTGGTGTGTCCAGGTGCAGACGGGTATGCTCTGGTTGGGTCCAGTCGAGGGTCGAGCCAGATGGGTCAGGACCTCGTCTGGCGGAGTGGCTACAGTCTAGTCCACTTGGGTAGGGGTCAGGTCCGCTCGGGAGGGGGCGAGTCTCGTCAGGTTGGGGTCGGGTCTGCTCAGGTCAGGGTCAGGTTTGGTCCTGTGGGGTCGGGGTCGGCTGGGGTCAGGGCTGCTCAGGTCAGGGTCAGGCTTGGTCCCGTGGGCTGGGGGTCGGCTGGGGTCGGGGCTGCTCGGATCAGAGTCGAGTCGGGGTCAGGTTCCAGAAAGGGCCGAGTCCGCCGGGGTCGGCGTAGGGCCGGGCAGGGTCTGCTCAGGTCGGGGTCACCTTCGGGCCGGGTGTGCTGGGGTCGGAGTCGAGTCGCGGTCGGCTCAGGGTCAGGGTCAGGGTCAGGGTCAGGGTCAGGTTCGGGTCCGGTGGGGTCGGGTCCGCTCCGCCGGCCGGCTCACCTGCCGCTCCGCTGGTGCACCTCCACATGGACGGTCGGCGCCTCGGCCACGCAGGGCAGCGCCTGCTTCAGGTCGCCCACGGCCTCGTCCATGGCGCCGCGGCCGCCGGGAACAGAAGCGGGGACCCGGCC